CCCTTCCCTGTCACACTGCGCAATTGCCCACCCCTCCCTGTCACACTGCCGAAAAATCCCCGCCCCTCCTTGTCGCACTGCGGCAAATACCCACCCACCCCTCTTTGTCACACTGTGGCAAATGCCCGCTCCTCAGTTACCCTCTGTCACACACTGCAGCAATTACCCATTCCTCCCTGTCACACTACGGCCATTCCAATTCCTCACACCTTCCTGTCATGCACTGCGGCAATTACCAACCCCACCCTGTCACACTGCGGTAATCACCCACCGCTCCGTGTCACACAGCGGCATATGCCCCCTCCTTTTTCACACTGCAGCAATTACCCACACCCCTCCCTGTCTCGCTGCGGCAATTACCCACCCCTGCCTGTCACACTGTAGCAATTACCCACCCCTCCCTGTCACACTCCCTGTCACGCATCCGGACTTACCCGCTCGCTGCGGCTTTGCGGAGTGCCCCCTTTTTTTTCCCTTTGAGGAGTGTCCTGCCGCTCAAATTGTACAGTCCTGGCTGGAACACCCTGTCACACTGCAACCCCCCTTCCTGTCACACACCATCCCCCCTCCCTGTCACACACCATCCCCCCTCCCTCTCACACAGCATCCACCCTCCCTGTCACACAGCATCCCGTTCCCCTGTCAAACACTGTACGATCCCGCCTCTCCCTGTCACGTGGGCGCCGACCCTCTAGCACAACAAAATGCGGTTGGCCACGTGGTTGGCGCCCACGCCCTCTCGAGCGTGACAGGGTCCACACCGTCTCTGTCACACACACCAACCACCTCCCTTTGGCCACGCCGCGCTGTGGACCCTGTCACGCTCAAGACAGCGGCAACGTCTCTCGACCGTTGGACCCGATCCAGCCACGTGTCTGAACCTGGTTGAAAACGGTCCACGTGGCAGGAACGTTCGACGGTCCACGTGATCAAGGCAACCCGCTGTCTAACGTTCCCGCCACGTGGACCGTTTCCAACCACCGTGAAGAACGCATCCGGCCATCCACACGAAAGGAAGGGCTTCATCATTTACAATTTTAGAGTGTATGTATCTGAAGGCAGTTTCCGGCCAGATACTGTGATAAACTATGACCTATACGTCGTCCCACGTCAGCCACCCCAGATAGTATCGTCGCCAAACTGCTGCAAAAAAAAATAATAAGAATAAATTAACTGCCGCACAGGGCAACTTGCAAGTCCCATCTGTGTTAAAAAAAAAAAAAAAAAAAAAAAAAAAAAAAAAAAACGAGAATGAAATAATTGAGTGGGCGAGCATGTTTTTGACACAGCCATCTTTGGCGATTTTTCATTTTTGTTTGGCTGTGACAAATGACATAATAGAGAATCTACAAATAAAGTTTGAAAAAATAATAATTTTGTTCATGCCCCGAAATAAAGGAAAAACAAAAAGTGAAAAGAGAGAAAAACAAGTTAGTGAGTGGGCAAGTAAGTTTTGACACCACCATCTTTGCCGATTTTTCATTTTTTTTTTGGCTAAGCAGAATGGCTTCAAAATTTAGAGGGAGGTACCTTACATCCCAAAGAACTCGCAAAAAAAAATTCAGAAAAAAGTAACAATATTTAGGTGCCAAAATATTTTTTTGCGGGGTCCGAACCCCTTCAGGTTCGGGCCCCGTACGGGGACCCGAATGCCCGAACGTTCGGGGGTCAGCTTAGGGGCCTCCGTACGTTCGGTCTGGCAACCCTGTAGTACAGTATATATGGTATAGTATATACTATATATACCTTTCTTCACCTTTTGGCTAAGATTAATTGTGGTATCTGGTCTGAACTGCAGCTCAGTATATGACAAAGAAAAAGGAATGGGTGTGTGATGTAGGTGGCATCTCTGCCATTTTGGCTGAATTTTGCAGAGGAATGGGTGTGTCTGATGTAGTTCTGTGATTTGGGGGTCTCACCTTCACGTTTAACCAGAGTAAGTTCGCTGTTAACCGGAGAATAAGTTCTTTCGTAGTTAACCGGGAAACAAGTCTTGCGAAATTGACCAGAGAGTAAGTTCAAAGTTAATCAGAGAGTAAGTTCACAGTTAACCACAGTAACTTTACAGTTAACTCATCTTGGGTTAAACTTTACAGTTAGCTCATATATTAGTTAAACTTTACAGTTAGCTCATATTGGTTAAACTTTCCAGTTAACTCATATCGGTTGTACTTTCCAGTTAACTCATATTGGTTAAACTTTACAGTTAACTCATGTATTGGTTAAACTTTACGGTTAACTCATATATATTGGTTAAACTTTACAGTTAACTCGTATATTGGTTAAGTGTTTGTTTGAGTTGTTTTCCGCAGTTAACTCACATTCGTTAAGTACTTGTTTGACTTGGTTTCGGTTTAGTTACTAACCTTAATGTCTTTGGTCAATATTTGAACTGAAACACAACTCAAGCTAGTGCTTAACCAATGCGAATTAATTGCGAACTTTGGTTAGCGGTTACACCCTCAAATGAACCTGAGTCGGTTAACCGTTAGTGAGTTTGGTTGATAATGAAGCTAAAAAGTTGCACGCCTGTGGTTAATAATTGAGCTTACCTCGGTAAGCATTAACCTTACTCCAAGGCTGAGTACATTTGTACTGCGCACTTGTGTTCGATGCATTTTCCATGAACACTTATGCAACCATTAACCTGATCTGAACCTCCTAATCCTTAACCTTACTCCAGGCTAATCCTTAACGCAGACCTGTCTTCTATGCATTCACCAATAACCTTACTCTAGGTTAGGTTGCTATTAGCTTTTCTAGGTAGAATTAATTGTGCAAACTGTGGATCATTAATCAGTGGCGAGTGTTCTTTTCTCAACCCACGAGTGTGTGTGTGTGTGTGTGTGTGTGTGTGTGTGTGTGTGTGTGTGTGTAACCAGTGGTCATTGCAGTGGCATTTCTTCTGTGATCTGACACTTCTTTCTGTTATTGTTGTTGTTGTTGTTGTCGTTGTTGTTGTTGTTGTCGTCATTGTTGTTGTTGCTGCTGCTGCTGTCATTGTTGTTGTTGTTGTTGTTGTTGTTGTTGTTGTTGTTGTTGTTGTTGTTGTTACTGCTTCTGCTTCTGCTGTTGTCATTGTCGTTGTCATTGTCATGCTCGTTGTCATTGTCGTTGTCGTTGTCGTGGTTGCCATCATCATTGTCGTCGTCATCGTTGTTGTTGTTGTTGTTGTTGTTGTTGTTGTTGTTGTTGTTGTTGTGGTGGTGGTGGTGGTGGTGGTGGTGGTGGTCGTCGTTGTTCATGTGGTGGTGGTCGTCATCATTGTCATCGTCGTTCATGTCGTTGTTGTTGTCTTTGTTCTTGGCTTTGTTGTCGTCGTTGTTGTTGTTGTTGTTGTTGTCATCATTGTTGTTGTTGTTGTTGTTGTTGTTGTTGTTGTTGTTGTTGTTGTTGTTGTTGTTGTCTGGGCTACACAGAGTGAATCAGACAGTGATGAGAGTGGAGGTGAATTGCATTGTCAGAATGGGGGTGCAGTTTCCCGAAAGCAAAAGAGTAAGTTGAATGGGAAAAGTGCTAGAAGCACAGCCAAAGAGGAAGAAATCAGGAGGAGAAAAGAGGAGGAGTGTTCCAAGCATCAGAGTGAGGATGATGTGCATGAGAAACTGAAGACAGTGACAGCAAAGAAGATAAAAAGGAGAAAGAGGAGGAGAAGTCAAGTGGAAGATGATGGGGTAGATGATGATCATCATGATGATGATGATGACGAAAGGCGAGAGAAGAAGAGGAAGAAAAAGAAAAAGGAAAGGCAAGCAATAGATGGAACGGAGGAGGATGAGGAGGGAAAGGGAAGGAGGACAAGTAAAAACTGGGATGCTGACGATCGGGGCGGGAAGAAGAAGAAGAAGAAGATGGAGATAAAACTTGAAAAGAAGCGAAGCAGATCTTTTCTCGAGCACATGAAAAAGAGAAAGTCGAAGGGAGTAGGAGGCAGGAAGTACAGGAAGGAGGGACAGGAGCAGAGAGCCAAGGAGAAAAAACGGAGAATAGGGAAACGTAAAGGAAGTGCGGGACTCAGAAAACACGAAGAGAGAAGAAGACGAGGGATGGATGATCTGCCAAAGAAGAAACCTGTGCACAAGGACTAAGATCGAGGAACAACCAACCTGTTGGATTCCCTAAGAGGAACTAACACATCCCCAGTCTATCTGTTTACTCGTCCTGATCCCCCATTCTCCTCATTATCCCCCCCCCCTTATTCGGACCCTCGGTTCATAGCCTCCCTGTAATGTAGCACACTTACAGTTCCCAAACCAATCCAGCGATTAGATGCAGTTATAGACAGGACATGAATCTCTCTCTCTCTCTCTCTCTCTCTCTCTCTCTCTCTCTCTCTCTCTCTCTCTCTCTCTCTCTCTCTCTCNTTCTTCCGATTAGGGAGGTTTAGCCTTCTACCGATTAGGATGGTTTAGCCTTCTACCGATTAGGAAGGTTTAGCCTTCTACCGATTAGGAAGGTTAAGCGCGTTGCGAATCCGTTTGCCGAGTGCGACGAGTTCAGCGGTAGAGTTGAGGCCTTCAGCTTGAAGAAGGCCAGCTATGGCCGTCGCTCCGGCGCCAACTATGAGAGAGGCAATCGTGCACGCACGCAAAGGCATGTACACGCCGCCATCGCCGCCGCGATACAAGCCAGACGCTACAAGAAGCTGCGCGCCGACGAGAAAGCTCCAGTAATTAGTTGGTGTTGTTGTTGCAGTGGAAGTGCGAGCAAGAGCCGCCGCTGAGGGAGGAGGCGGAGGCGGAGGCGGAGGAGGAGAGGGGCTGCTCCGATCTATCTCGACACTTTGCGTCGGTAGTGGGGAAGATGCGCACCACGTGGAGGGCCGTCCACTTGCCACGTCATCATCCCTCCTGCCAATAACACCATCACAATCGGCAGCCATTGATCGCCGTTCATGCACGACAGGGATTGCGCCGCACTCCTACTACTGCTACTTATTCTTCTTCTCCTCCTTTCTTCGCGTCTTGTTCCTTTCTTGTCCCCTCTTGTTGTTGTTTTCTTTCTGTTTTCCCTCTCTCGTTCTGTCTTCGTCTTCCTTCCTATACACACCATTCAAGATGGTGAAGAGAGAAAAGCAAAGAAGAAAGAACGCCGATGAAGATGATGAGAGACTTATTGCGGAAAGGACAGCAGCTATACATGCGTGCGCGCACCGCTCACTCAAGACCCCTACGATTCCATCGTCGTCCGTACGATCAGCACCATCCTCATCTACGTTACACTGATTTCTTTTGCCCTGTATAATCGAACCCTAAATCCTAAAAACTACATCCGAATAGGTAAAATGTGCCGATCAGCTCCTGAGCGATGACGAGCCCCTTGCCTGCATTTCTCTTCCTAACGGGGTCACTCCACCCCTCTCCTCGCCATTCGATTCCTAACGGGGTCACGCCACCCCTCTCCTCCCCACTCCGTCGTCCCCGCAGTAACCCAGCCCAGCCCAGCGATGGTTCCCTTCCATTCACTTCTCGTTCACTTCCGTTCCCTGAGCTCCAGGGTCGGAACACGTCATGCCAGAAACTACTGCGGCCTTCTGATTACTTGCCTTGGGGTTCGAACTCATGGTCCGTTCATTACCACTTACATGAGTACACCCCTTTTGCTTTGCCTTTTTTTTTTCATGTGTACCATTCAAGTTGATTCAACTAAGGGTCTGATCCCACACTACATACGGTATCGTATTAAAGTCGATTTTTCGAGATCCCTCAGTGCTCCGAAGTCGTAGGCGGCACCGTCGAGTTCGGAGGTAAGTGGAAACGTTTGTTGTCGAGGCGGTCTGGGAATGAACGGCGGCGAAAAAGTAGTAGGGAAATGGGAGGAGTGGTGGAACCGTACCCGTCCGTGAAAAAGCTGGAGCCCTTTTCTTGGGTTTTTTTTTTTTCCCGTTTGTCCGTTACCTGTTCGGTGGTTTGTCCGTGGTCCAGGGCGATGTGTGGCAGAAGAGGCCCTCGCGCCCAACGGTAAGGACCGCGCCGGCGGGTATGTGCGACTGGTACCGTGTGGATAACGGCACTGTGGTCCTGTGCCACCTCGTAAGCTTCGGCCTGCTGCCCCCCCCACTTCCCCCACCAGCCAAACGGTCCCTCCCTGTAGGGTCTTCGAAAACTTGTCCACCGCGTCATTCCGCGCGTGCATTGCCTGTACGACCTCCGAATCGCTTACAGCGCTTGCTCAGCGCCATCTTCCCCATCGAAGGATGTGTCATCTTCCGGTGGCACCACGTGTCATCTTGACGTTGCTTGCGTGTCGTGGCTGGCAGCGCGGACACTGGAGTTGTCACACCAGGTACAGTGGCCTGGCCCGTCTTTGGC